CATGTTTCTTCTTCCATGTGCTCATTACTTAGGAATACACTAAGTGAAAATTCAAATTAAGTTGTTGGCTCCCATCTTATTAGTGGAATTAGCCACCAGGATCTCTTTAACATTCCCAGATATACATATTATAACAGAGTATACCTTCTGTAAATCCACATCTTCTCATGGAAGATGTCACCACTTTTTTCTGTATCATTCTTGATATTTCAAATCTCCTTAAAACTGTTATCAGAAAAGTGAATTAGATGTAAACCCCCATGTGCATATGCATTATTATGACAGTCTACATTAAAAAAAATGAGAATGGCAAGCAACAAGGGCCTTTACTGAAAAATATAATGCTTTTATGCAAAACTCACAGACCTAGCTGGAATTCATAGCTATGTGTATGTATTAATATTTAGCAGTCACTTAACATCTCTGAGACTTATTTTCTTTGTCTGAAAAGGAGGATATTTTCACCTACTTCACAGCATTGCTAGCAGATAAGACACCTCAGTTGTGCTTTTTTTAAAAGCCTATGTTTTTAAAAGCCCTAAAGAGCCTAAGGGAAAGACAGTCACAGTGATTGTGAGAGGAGCTTACCTCTTAATTCCACCTCCCCTAAACTTTTATGAGATATATATTTGCTAGGTTGATGTGCATATCCAATTCTAACTCTTTAAAGTAACTGAGAAACTAAATGCTGTGTGGGTTAATGGTGGTGAAGTAGATAATGAAAATGCCTCTATAACTAGTAGCACTGGATTACCCCAAGGTCAAAAACTTGATTCAAACTCATAACTTATTCACAGACAGGCAACCTGGTAAAGCAGAAAGAGTGGGCTGGGAATTTTCAGACCTTCATTCCAGACATTTAATTAATTTGGTGAAGATGGGCAGATCACTTGAACTGCCTGGTGCTCAGGTTCTTCACCTAAGAAAAATGAATGGATTTTTAGGATTTGGTAATTTAGTATCATTAGGGAATAGGGAAGTTCTCTGGGGCTGCCGATGGAAAGTGATGAATATATTTCTTGTGCATTGTTCAGTTCTATTCAACATACTTTTATTTAGCACTGACTATGTGCAAAGGACTCTGCTGGGAATTGTAAGTCACGAAAACGTTAACAAAATGCAGTTCCTGTCTTGTCAGAGCTTGTGATCTGTCTGGAGAAAGAAGTAACCATAATGCAAGTTGGACGTAAGAGCCCTGCACAAACCAAAGCCCAGAGGGAGTGCTAGCTGAAGAGATAGGGAAAAGCAGACAAAGAGAGCATGGCATTGGGCTGGATTTTGAGGGCTGAATCCATTTCAACAGCAAGTTCCTTAGGGGAAGGCGTTCCTGGTGGAATAACAGATTTGAACAAACGCACCAGCAGGGGAGCTCTGGGAAATATTGTGCATTATTCTGCAACATACGAAGTATGAGAGTGAGTGGTTGAAATTAAAGCAGTCAAAGTGGGTTCTCTCCAGATTATGGAAAAACTCCGCAATAATCCTGGTTTTTCCTGCATTTTACAAGAAACAAATACGAGTGACATCAAATAAAAACCAACATGACCTGGGCAAGTGATTAGACCTGGATATGGAGTGAGAGAAGTCAGTACAAATATGCTCCAACACCGTGTGTGAATGCGGCGGTTTTCTCTGCTTGTGTGTTTTGTTGTTGACTTGTTTTTGTTTTGTTTTATTGAATTGGAAATGCTTGTGCTAAACCAGCTGGGGATACCTATTCAGCAGCAGTCGCCCTTGTATGGGAGGCGCTTGGGAGAACAGTCTGAAAGGAGATGCACACTTCTGTGTTATCCATAGTGAGCAGTTAGAAGCCACGAGTTCTTCAAGTCAGAAAGTAACAAAGGTCAAGGACTGGTCCTAAATCCCCATAAAATGTGACCCGACATCAACAGGTGACCCTATGCATAGAAATCCGTGAAGAATACAAAGATCAAATAGGATGGAAGCAGGACAGTAAGGTATCACAAAAACTAAGAAAGTGACAGCTGTTTGTTTGTTTTATCAGCACCTACCTACCCTGTGTCAAACATAGCGTTAGGCTTTTTGGATACATAATCCAAATAAATTATCACAGCTACCTTGAAAATTAAGTATATTTCTCATAACTGATAGATGGAGAACTGAGTACACAGCAATTAGGCATAGCACAACAAGTAAATGGAAAGTGTAGATTCGAACACAGGTATGTCTGATTCCTATAATAATACACTCACCTCAATAGGTTGCTATTTGTGTGAGGGGGGAGTTTCAAGGAGATTGTAACTGGCAGTGTCATGCTCTGTAGAGAGCTCAAACAGGGTGGGCACTCACACAAAACTTTAACTTAAAGCTGGTACATAGTATTAACACAGGTCATCGCAATGATCTACAAGAAAGACGTCTTCATAAAACATACTCTGTAAAAGCCAATGGAATAAAAATTCTGACAGTTTGTTCAAAGAAAGTGAAAATAAAAATAGTTGAACCCTTCTGAGAAGTTTACTGAAGGAAAGAGATTAGTCAGAGCAATGATGAATGAAGGTTGAAGAAAGGGTATTTGTTTGAATGGTTAGTTCATTTTTTCAGTAAAAAAAAAAAAAAAAAAGACTTGAGCATGCTGATAAACCTAAGGAAGAAACCCAGAGGAGAAAGAAGACTCAGATTAATGAGGGGAAAAAATGGATGGAGCAAGGTCCTACAGGAGGTGACAGGAAATAGAATCAACAGCATGCCTATAAAGGAAAGAATAGTGATTGACAGAGAGTTGTGTTGGAGAGAGGAAGAGATTTAAGAGAACCAGCAGCAGATGTCCCATATCTTCTCAGAAAAAGAAGATACAACGTTATCTCTTAGGGCAGGTGCTATCTGGCTGTGTGGACTGGAAAGGGTTTGGAATCCTCCCCACAGAGAAAAGCACAAGGAAGTCAGCTAGAGGTGAACAAAAGAATTTCCCAACAACTCAGAGTGTATGCTAATAATAGGGTCAAAGCTTTCTAGTGGAGCCAATTGGCATAATTTTGTGACTTTCTCTGGTAACACTTGGCCACCCAGTAATAAGATCAGAGAAAGCGTGTGGTGCTGCGTTCCCAGGTGAGGCGTAGGAAGGTCAAGGTGACAGTAGATCAAAGGGATTTCTTGATGCTAATTAGAAGCTACATGAAATGGTGGGCAACTGATCCAGACAGGATCTAGAGAAAGTAAAATAAAAAGGGTTCAAAGAATTAAAGATAGGACCAATGTGAGGAACAGATTCATTAAGAGTAAGAGGAAAAGAAAAAGAATAGGTTGGTTATGGCCACAGAAGGGAATTTCCAAGTTCAAGATTTTAGGAATGAGATCCTTGTGAAGTGCCACGAATGATCATGTCATCCCACTGTGCAACTTTACTTATTAGAAAGTGGAAAACCAGGAAGCCAAGTGCTTTTCCTAAGTCACCCCATGACCCAGTGGCAGAGACAGCACTAAACCCAGGATCTTCTTAGGAGCCCTTTGAAATTTTAAATCAAATGATAACAACCATTAAATCATATTCTCATAAAAAAAAAAGAATGGTAGCTATAGTGGAGTAAATGGAAACCACGGTTATTCATAATATACGCGAACTCACAGTAAAGCATGCCGTATATGTAGATTTCCTATTTCAAAACTTGTAGTTATGCCATCCCTCCCTCTATCCTGTTTCAGCTTCCTTTTAAAGAAGAGAGAATATACAAAGTTTCTCCAGATCGAATTAAAAGCTCCCTGGCCAGTAGGCATTCAGGGGGAAACTCAGTCTCAAGGAATCTGGCTGCTATCCTAAATTACACTCTCCATGACATCAGTTATCTCAGAGGGCCAGTGTGCATGTCCATAATGATGTATTAGGTCCGCCATTTTAGCTTCTTCTATAGGTCTTAGATTCTGAAGAGTCCTTTCTCTCGATTATTCGTATGAGCTTTTAATCTTAAATGATATGTAAAATGTAACTGGGATGTTTAAGAATGGGGGGGGGGATTGTGTTATTTTAAAGTTCTGTTTAAACAAATTAACTCAGCAAACATTCGTTATTTCATATCTTAGTGTTCATGCCTCTTTTGGCCTTCAGGAAAGGATATATATTTAAATAAAGAAAAAGAGAGTAGAGATTTTCATTTGGTGTTCTTTTGTTAATACACACATCTCATATTGTACCTCAGAAACATTTTTCTTCATTATGTCTTTAATGAACTGTGTGTATCACCAAGCCGGCATGGAAAAACTCACTTTCACTGACTCCTTGGTAAATCTGAAATTTTATTTCAAAGAGTCCAGTCAGGAAAGGCTGTTATTCCTCTCAAGCTATGGCTTACAAAGGGGGGTGGGCACAAAGGGAGCTGTCGTCATGGCCTGGTGGCAGTATTTGATCACTGGCATTGTTTAGAACTGTGGGGTGAATGGTGATAATAAAAACAAACTGCATTTTGGTCAATTTCATTTTTGTTCTTAGACTTCCGGCAGACAGTGCACACTTGCTCACTTCTTACCTCTGGATGAACCACATCCACTGCACCCCCGCCCTACCCCCGCCCTCGCCACACACACACACCTTTATATGCTACTGATCTCAAGGTGGCCTCTCTAGAGTTGAAGAATGGCTAAAATGGTATCAGGGAAGGAGAATTTTATGACCTAAACCAGGTGTACACAGACTATAACATACAGGCCAAATCGGGCCCTATGCCTATTTTTATAAATACAGTTTGTTTACTGTATTTGTTTAACATACACTTTGACGGTTTTTGTGCTACAACCACAGAGTTGAGTAGTTGGGATAGAGACCCTATGTCCCTCAAAGCCTAAAATATTTGCCATCAGGCCCAAAGAACAAGAAAAGTCCCCTGACCCTTGATTAAGAACTGACGTATTGCTTGCTTTGCGGCCATGTGAGCAAGACAGTGATTTCACATGCGTATTGTAGCCCAGTAATTTAACAAGCACCTTTGTTAAATGTTTACCTTTGGCCAACATTCTCTTTACCTATTAATTTTTCCTCTGTTCTTTAGTCCCTGCTATGTGGATATTTGTTAGCAATGACTGATGTGGAAACTACATATGCAGATTTTATTGCTTCAGGAAGAACAGGTAGAAGAAATGCAATACATGACATCCTGGTTTCCTCTGCAAGTGGCAACAGCAATGAATTAGCCTTGAAATTGGCAGGTCTTGATATCAACAAGACAGGTGAGTCTGACATACATCTGCCTATAAACATGGAATGATTTGCTGCGTTTCCCGAAGTAGGACCAAGCCATGAAAACCCACCTTCTAAAGCAACTGGACAGATTTATAAACAGTCTACGGCCAGAGAAAAGCTGGGGACTAATCTCTGAATCCATCACTCCCGCTCTGTGTTTGATGACTTCTCTTTACAGGGTTTCCCACTCAAATGCTGTATAGGAGTGACAACTGTATAAGGACAAACAAAACATCACTCACTGAGACTTGTGAGGGACTTCCTTCGTAATCCCTGAGTGTTTCAGCTTCTTTTCAGTTTATACGCAACAATTTTCCTGTCCTGTGTTTACCCTGACCAGTTAATAACCGTCTATTTAGCTCTGTGTTTGTAGCTTTTGCTAAGCCCTGAGAAGCATCCTCACACAGTCCCTAGAAAAGTCACCTAGAAAGTCCCAAGCCCCATGGGAGTCAAATCCCTCATCCTGTATTTATGAGGTCACTTTCATCCTTAAATATTCCACTCTCGCATCTTCCCTCATCTGACTCCATGCCTTTGATGACCAAGGACTTCTCTCATTTATCAAGTTCATGTTGCATGTCCGCATCTCAGATTCAGGCCACCTGCACTTCTTGGGAGCCTATTCAATGCTCTAATAACGCAAGTACAGTGTGAAAATCTTATGCAATGTCTGCTCAGAACCTCAGAACCCCATTAGAATAGATTTTTTTTTAATGTAGAAAAGCTACTTTAATTTCCCTAAAGCATGGTGTACGGTGAGATGTTTTGTGTGTACTTGTACAGGAGAAATTGCTTTTCAACATTCCCATCTAATGAATGGACCAGCCCACTTACCTCTAGCCTTTTGAATCATGGCAACAAATCCTTAGCAAGCCTTGTTATAATTGACATTATTGCAACACCCCCCAAATACTTTGTCCACTCAGCCATATTAGTTGCTTAGTAATGAACTAATATATGCAAATATATGTACGTATCTTTGAATCAAGGATTGCCCACAGCTTACACTCAGCTAAAATGACCAAATATTGAGAGAAAGTACTGTTTAATTTCAGTGTGTGCTATGTCACGAGCTGATATTGCTGCAGAGGGTGCAGTTACAAGGGTGGTTTTATTAAAATCCTACATAAGTTCTCTAAGGACAGACCAGAGGCCATCACTACTGTATAACAAAGGGCTGACCAGCTGGCATAATGCCCTTTCACCTTCCACTGTTGCTTTTCATTTAAACTAATCAAACATCTGAGAAATCATCTAGGTTACCATCAAGTGCTATAAATAATGTACAATGCATTTTTTTTAAATTATTAAAATAAGACAGAAATTAAAAGGTAAACTTATTCCCCACTTCTGATTTGGGCCTAAAGACACCCGTGATTTCTGCAACCCATAAAACTAAAAGCTAGAACTTGGCCATGGGATATCCTAGTTACTTATCAAAAGCACAGATTATGGCTAACCACTGTGAAAATTCGGTTATTACTTTGTTTTTAAGCCACGCTGTCCCAAGTTCACAGAACCAGAATTAGGCAGCCCGTGAAACACTCGAGCCATTCTCTCGATGGGTAGTTCATTACCAAGAAGATACACTTGTCTCTGGGAGGTTTCTAGACTTCTGGAATATTTCTGAAACTTCCAGTGTGAGATATGGAGAGTGGCTGACTGTCGATAATGGTTTGCATCCTTTTCTCATGGTTTCTTCCAGAAGGTGAAGAAGATGCCCAGCGAACTTCAACAGAACAAAGTGGGGAAGCTCAGGGGGAAGCAGCGAAACCCGAAAGCTAACACCCCCCTTTGATCTTCGTCCACACGTGACCATGTCTCCAACCTCCAGGCCTGGCTGGGAGGCATCTGTGCCCAAGAGGGAAAAGGGGGAACAGAAAATGGCTGTGCTGCTCACTGTCCTGTTGAAAATGGGGGCAGAGGCTGTGGCTGCAGACAGACTTTTCTCTACCTCTGTCATTAGTAATGGCTGAAATCATGTGGCTTGTGTTCGGGCGTCATTTTTGTGCGGACCCTTTCACTTGACCACGTGATGAAATGCTTGTAGAGAGTAGCACCGACCTGGATGACGATTCTTCCTGTAGCATCTCAGAGGATTTAATTGTGTCTAATTGCAAAGGGTTGGTTGAACCCCAGAGTTTAAGTGTCTCTGGCCCAGGTATTCAGCCAGTAAGAGAACCATCCAGAAAGCACTGTTTTCTGCGTTACGTACCCGTGTGTTCCTGCTGTGTTATTTACACTGTTTTGTATTGTACAATATAGATGCTCGGCACTGCCCCCCCCCTTCTTTGATTGCTCATGAAAAACAAAAACAATGTACGTTACTGTGAATTTTTATACCACTCATTTTTAAAAGGGCTGTCTTCTTTTTTTCTCCATTGTGTGGTGGTGTACACAGGATACAGCACTTTAAAAACAAAACAAAACTTAATCTTAACCTTTGACTCACTGCTGATGAATTGACTAAGTCTAACAGATTCATCAAGTCTCCTTTGCTTTTATGATACAGGCGTTTAAAAATATCCATTAATGTGAATATTACCTGAATTCAGTTTGGTGTCTGCCCCACAATTCGATCTGCAAATTTTATTTTATTCCCAAGTGGAGAACTTTGAGTATTTCGGAGATTTAGGAAGGTGGGAAAGAGAAGCTAAGATAACACTAACAACTGGAAATGTTTTGTTGTTATGGCATCAAATTTCCCACAATGCTGTATACTAGCATTTAAATTTTGAGGACAGCTTATCTCCAGGGAGCTGAAAAAGATGGAGAAAATGGTCTCCTTGCAATCATGTGGACACCAACCACAAAAATAAAGCCCTCGTGTTGTGTTTTTCATGTCTTTTTTCAGCCCTATCAGATCCAAATGTTATTATTGCACTTTTTAATGTTTGTAAACTTTTACTAATAATTAGTGTGAATTGCATTCTGATATAATAATCATCATCATTAGAAGCTACCAGAATCCTCATTAATACTCATTAATACTGTTGATGGCCTCAGCTGTGTTTTGACATCATGGTCCTTACATGGAAAGTTTCTGTGAGCTGTGTAATCCCTCTGGACAGTATTATGAACTCATATATCTGTGGTAATAAATAAGGAACCAGTAATATGCCAATGGCTCATGAATTACTGGACAAATAGCAGACAACAGGAAGACCTTTTACGATAAAGAGCCCACTTAACTGTGCTCCAGGTCTTAGGTACAGTCCCATGTGAAATAGCATAAGCAGATTTCCCCAGATAACCTATTTGGACATGCCAGCAGCTCAGCCCTCCTTCATATGTGCATCAGGATGAACTCATCTGCCTTGCCAGTACTTTTCAAAAGAGAAGGATGAGGGCATGGGCATCGTTTGGTCCTCAAGCCTACACTACTAGAAAACATGTTAATAGTGTGAGTCTCTCAGAAAATAGAAAAAGGAAAAATTAAGTTTTAGAGTACTTCCTTCTATCTAACCCATGAGGGCCCAAAATGTCCAGTTAAAGTTCAAACAACTCTACCTATTAGTGGGACAAGAGGTTCCTAAGGCTATTTTAGACAATCTCTGCTAGTTCATTTTAAACATCCAACCCCAAAACTCATTTTTTCAATATCCTCATTTACTATCCTCATAGCTTTCGTATGAATCTAGGCTAAGTTCTCCTCATCCTTAAAGTGGTGGAATTCCAAACTGATTTTATGTGGTTTTGTAAAGTTTAGGACTAGTGCTGAGTATATGTGGAGGGTTGATATTCCTATGTGCTGTAATATGATTAATGCATGTGGTGTCATGCTTGTCTGTGAATATATAATACTGCTAAATTGTGAAGTCATATGGAGCATTTGAATTATTTTGACCTCTTACTGCTATTTTGTTTGCTATATTCAAACCCAGAGGCATTCCCAAGCTGAAAGATAAAAGTCTGCTTTCCAAAACATCTACTTTACAAATATTGCTAAGCAAAAGTTCACAGTATCTTCCAAATTTTATTGTAATATCTTTTACTTGCAAGTCAATAATATACATGGAGTTGAATTTTTAAGAAAAGAAGGAAAGGGTTGAAAACTAAGGCACTGGTCTTATAATACACATTGAATGCCTATTAATAACCAGCCTTACACTCATCACTTCCCAGCACACACCGAGGGTGCCAAAGAAAAATGTATACACATTTTAAGAAAGGAAAAAAACTGTATTAAAATTGCAATACTCAATATATACCAATAACAGAAGATGAATACAAGTCATGTTCAACTTCTGCAATTATAAGAGGTGCTCAAAGTGGTTCCCATCAGCATCCAGACACTTCTGATTACAGTGAACTACTGCTTGAGCAATGTTGACCAAAGTGTCCACGTGTATACATTTTTTTGGAGCCCCCGGTAGTCTCCCATTTAATCCTCAAATTATTCAATTAAAGAGGTAGTGTTACCCCTTTTCACAAATTAGGAAATTAAGGCTCAATGAGAAATGACTTTTCTGACCTTTAAAAGCTATTAAAGGATGAAATTAAGATTGGAACCTATCTTTGTCTCCAAGGAGCTTTCTATGGCATGTGCCATAAAATTAAAGCCAATTACAGAGCATGGGTATCTGAGGAGCACGTGAAGAGATGGATTCGTTCAGCCTCCATATTTCAGAGAAGAAAACTGAGTCCCAGAAAGGGCAATTGCCTTTCTCAAGGTTACCTGTATGAGTAACGACACAGACGTATCTAGATCATAGAAAGTGCACTTAAAAGGAAGGAAGGAAGGAAGGAAGGAAGGAAGGAAGGAAGGAAGGAAGGAAGGAAGGAAAGAAGGAAGGAAGGAAGAAAAGAAAAGAAAGAAATTAGAATGTATTTTTTGAGTTATACTTCCCAGAATAAACTTTTCTGGCATGTAGTCTAAATTTAGTTAGACTAAATTTAGGTAGCATGGTTTCTGTCCCATGCTACCCATTTTGTTTAACTAGAAATAGGACAGTTTCAGGTTTTTTACTCATTTGCAACAAGTGTGAACTTATCAGATTTACTTAATATCAATTGTAAGCATCCTATGCCAATATATTGTTATCATAAATGGTTTTTTTTTTTCCAATCGGTATCAGGCAGCCTTCAATGTTGAGGCAGTACCCCCCGGAGCTGCGCCCTGTAAATGTCCCACAATTGAGCCTCGCTCAGACCCAGCGGAAATGCACCATTTTAGAAGATGAATGGTATTGCTGTTTCTCTTCAGAGAAGCAATGATGGGTAAAGAAATGTGACTTCCTGCAGGCAGCAAAGCTTCGGAATGAAGCCTACAGTAATGGGAGAAAATATACAGTCATCAAGAGAAAAGTGCAGGAAGGGTCTATGATTTATGATGTCTTAGTAGGCCCTAAGCTGTTCTCTAATTAAGAGTGGCATTCTCTGAAGTCACTGGTGAGCTTGTATGACTTTTGTATTTAGCAATGTTGCATGCTCACATAATTGATATTAAAAGTAATACATTTTTCTGAAATGTACACAGTCTATTAAGAGTATTTATTGAATGCATGCTATGTACTTGGCACTGGAGAAAGTGCTGTGGGTGATAAAGGAGAAACCTGCAGCCTCAGCCACGCTGTGGTGGACATACCCAGCGTGCCCTCTTCCCAGCTTCCACTGCCATTACGTTCACCGCCCTGCCACGCTGGGAGCCCACTTCCTGGACTTCATCGTCAAGCAGAGCCAACTCCTAAATCGGAAGCTCCAATATCACTCCTGTGGCTCTTACTTTGCTCACCCGCGAACCAAGGATTCAATATCGGGGTGTCGGAAAGGTCATGACGCATTTTCGCAACGGAAAACAGAGAAAAAAATGTGTCATGACTTTTCCGACAACCCAATGATAGCAGAGGAAAGACAGATGTTTATCAGGAGCTTCTGAAAGTCTTTACAATGCTCCCTCTTTACCCGCACAGGTACATTCACACACCAGCACTCTTCTCCTTGAAAGAACTCGTATGCAACTTCGATTTCTCGTTTTCCTCCCATGCTCGTCCCCAACAACTTGAGAACCAGGGATGTAGAAGCTCCAGGGATGTTGAACCTGTCCCGGTCACTCCACCAAGGAGCTTCACAATGAGTCAAAACAAAATGGAATGCTCACTGACACCCAGGGTTTTACTATCTTAAGGGTATATAATATAGTAAATTTGGAGTGGAGGAGCAAAGAAAGTTTAGCTTCTTTTATCTTGGTATTGCTCTCTTTTCATCACGTTATTGTCATGACACACGGGCAGGAAAGACCAAGCAGAGAACAAGATGGCAGTAAGCATCACGCAGCCTCAGCCTGAGTCCAGGGAAGGTCTTAGGCCAAAGGGGCCAAGGAGGACTGTAGATCTTACTGGAGCGACAGGGTAAAACATGACACAGGGTGTGAGACAAAATGGTACCCAGTGCGACACATCTGCATTCCCTGGGGGGGGTCTGTCCTCCTTGGATACTTTTTGCATCTGTCAAGTCCAGGATGAGAGAGTTTGGGATGCTGGCCATCTCTCATTAAGTCAAAACTAACAAACCTATCTGACTGTAACCCGGTAACTTGCTAGTCGGTACCACATCTACTTTCTGACCCTACCAAGATGGGTCTTTCCTGAGCAACCCTCCTCCCCATCTGGAATGCCTCCTTAATCTGTCTCGCAATTTCCTTACTTTCTTCTCTTTCTGCCATCCGTGCCCAATGACAATCAATCAAACTCTCTCCCTTCTGGCTTTCTGGCTGGCTGTTTACAACAATGTTCATTCATTGTCAGAAACCTCAGTTTAGACGCAAGCGCTGCACAGTTCTCTTTTTTCATGTCCCTGGGGACAGAGGGAGCTTCCCACTTCCTGTCTAAGATTTATCCCTTCATCAGAGGTTTCAAAACCACTGTCTTTCTGACTTTGACAGGGAGTATGTTAATTATCCTTTTCTCTTCCCTGGCTTGATGCTTTTCCGCAAGCATGTTCAAGCTCTCAAGTCCCCTCTCGCCTTCCCTACTTCTGCTTCTCAAAATAGTCACTTACGCGCCATGTTTTCAGGCTTCGCTTCTCTACTTCTTACCGTTTCACATTTTGACTTCCAATTAAATTTTTCTCATTACATACGACGTTTTTTCGGTAGTTCCCAGACTTTTCAGTAATTGTCACTGAAGCCACGGCCAATGTGGAAATTAAAAAATGATGGTATTACAATGGACTCAAGCTTCACCTAAAATCAAATGTAATGGTTTTATAGTTTTGATTAATATTAGTGTGACAGGCTAGAGCTGAATATTAAAGACTCTTTAAGGAAGGAATCTACATATCCCGAGAAAGTCAATTTTGTCCTCCAAGTTCACATCTTCCATCCTGTATGGACATGTCCTTTCTTTGACCAATCTCATGTTTGTTAGCTCTGTCCTCAGCATCTCCAGTGCTCATTTCTTCATGGGGGTGGTTGCCACATAGATAGGCTCTAACCTGGAGCCTGGGCATCTAGAGATGGGCGCAGTTACCTTGTGGTTTAGAATGAATTCTGTGTTTCAATCCTCTGGGGTGACTGCCAGTGACACGACTAGTTCCTCTCAATAGCAGCCACATACGAGCAAAAACGCTCTATTCCTTTGTACCCAGTGCCACTCCAGTTCTCTAAATTAGATCTAAACAAATATACCAACCCAATGCCAAATATAATGGACAGTGTATGTGTGTTTTATTAGCCTACCCTACGGCATTTAATCCTGTTCACCATGGCATCTTTCTTTAAGATGCTTCACTTTGATCTCTTTGTACCCCAGATGTTTTTTGTTTTGTTGTTCTTTTTTACTTAGTTATCTTTTATTCCTTTTTCTCTAGCAATTTCTCACTTTCCTTGTCTTGTTCCTCCTTTTCTACACCTCTTCCCCCCAAATGCTGTGGTTCCCTGGGACTCCACCCTTATTCCCCTTCTCCAATCCCATGTTCAGATGACCTCTCACATTCCATCATCCATCACCACACTCACATGATGAATCCATGTCTTCAGCTCTAGCCCGGAGGTCACCGCTGATCACCTGACCTGTTGTGTAATCAACATGGATTTCCCAAAAGTGTCTTAAATCTTCCAACACAGAAGCCAGTATACGATGTCATTCCCGAGCCTGCTTTTCTTCATATGCTACAAACCTCAGATCATGGTAGCATTGGTTTCCCAGCAGCCTTACATCTAAATCCTTAGAGTTTTCTTAACTCTTCTTTCTAATTTGTTTTTTCAGTCTGTCAATTCTAATTCTTAACGACTTCTTGAAGTGGCCCACTTCTTTCTGTCTGTACCTCAACCCTTTAAACCACCACTTACAGAATATAATGCATGGCCTGCTCGCCGGGCCCAGCCTCACCTGGCACCCTTTCCATCCATCCTGCAACCTGGTGTATCCTTCTAGTGCATAAGTTCAATGATTTCACTGCTCTAATTTAAAAACTTCTTCAGTTTAGCCAACAAAACTTTGTGATATAAGCGCCACATTTTATTTTTATACAACTTCTTGCTCTGTGGTCGCTCTTTTCCTGTTTCTCAGATGTTCTTCTTCACGCTTGGTGGCAAATTGGCAAATGCTTATTGATTCTTTCAGACTATGCCCCATTTTTACCCTTTACTTTAGATCTGCTTTTTGATCTGCATCCCTGTTCCCAAGCCCCAGCCTAGTAAATTAGCTGTTCTGTATACGTACACCTTGTTCCCCGGACACTTGATTTATCAACTCGTCTCACCAGATCACAGCTATTTGTTTACATGTGTGTCTCTCCAACTAGCACATGACCTCTCTGATGGAAGCAGACATCTTGTAGTCACCTTTGTATCCTCATTGTCTATTAATACTCAACA